ACTCGCATAATTACAAGCTCTCTCTTTTAACCTAAGAGTCAAATATGGCTAGGTTTCTTGGGTGCAGGGAGGAGACAGATAAAAAAGCCTTGCATGCCAAAATTTTAGCCTCTGAAAAAGTTATCAAGCTCATTAAGGGTGTTTCAGGAGATAGGTGGAGAAACATGAGGCAGCAGTAGTGAGTCTTTGTAAACGTGAGTCTCCAGGATTGAAACTCACCCAATAAAGTACACTGTGCTCTGGGATACTGAATCAATATGGATCTTCACTGCAGCCTTAACCCAGTGAAAACAAATCAGCCAAGGAAACAGTGAAATTCTGAAGAAAGATGATGCTGGCTGGGGCAGAATGAGGAAAACATTAGGTTTCCAGGAATGCAACAGGATTTGACTTCTAGCAAGGAGTTGGCAGCACAACCAGGGGATTTTCCTTCTCTTCGCTGGCAGGGAGAATCCTCTGATACTCATGAAATACTGCTACGACCGCTTGAGCCAATGCTGAGATTGCAGTGCAGGTAGGAGACAATTTGTCATCCTCTGACTTCTGCTCTTTTTTTTTTTTCCTTACACCTCTTCAGCTGTGGGTCATGCCCACATTTGGGGCTCACCCTGTCTTCGAGAATGGTCTGGAAAAGTCATTTTACGGCTACTCCACCTGGTTTGTGATCGTGAACTTCGGTCTCCCGCTGAGCGTGTTCTACCGAATGCACTCCGTCGGGGGACTCGTGGAGGTCTACGTCACAGCCTGAACCAAGCTGACTCCCCACGCCAGAGGCTGGGCTGAAAAGACGCTGAACAAGATGCAGTAAGCAGCGGATATGCACATGGAAGCTTTCAAGCTTTTTTCCCCCTCCAGCTTCTGCTTTGAATTCTCCTTGCACAATGAGTTTCAGAAGAAAAGCAGGTTACTTTATATTATCATTTTTTCCTCCATAGAGAATCAACTCAAAGCCCATAAACAAAGTGTCTTACCGCTCTACAGAAGCATGAACGCTGGTACTTTTCAGTAGCCTGCCAGTGGATGCTGTAGGGTAGCAAGGAGAACTTTACCAGCTCCTATTGAAAGCTTTCAGATGAAAGATTACAAGAGCAGCCTTCAACAAAAGCAACAAAGATTGACTTACACTCCACAGAACTTCAAAAATCCACAGCCAAGGCCCACCGCTGCTCGCCAACCACCATCCTGCAGCACAGAAGAGACCTCTCACTACCAGCTGCGCTAGAAGCGCGTACAGCCACGGTCGTTCAGAAACAAACTGAACGTACACTTTTTATGTGTGATTTTCAAAAAGATGCTGCTGTCACAGTCAGACCAGGGACTTTCTGTTGGTTCCCGGTGCTGGCGCGGGGCACGTCAACTTGTGCGAGTCCCCTAGGGCCCAGCCCCCCTGAGTGCCAAGCTCTTGCAGCTCTCGGTACTGAAGAGCAGGGCAGGCCTTCACACCTGCACTGGTTCAGTGCGCCTTTTCCCATTATCGAAAAGAGAAGCTGTAATATTACCTTGCCTTACTGGGAATAAACACTATTTCTCCCTAGAGGCACTCAGAGACTCTCAAGTGAGAGACACTAAAGGAGTACTACAGCTGACCTTTACCTTGATGCTACTCGTGCATGATGTTAGCAGCAGTGTGTACTAGCAAAGGTCCCACCCTTGCACACAGAGGTAGCTCAGGTAAGAGCTACCGCCAAACCCACGGTGAACCCCTCCCTACCCCAACACTTTGCTCCTCACTGCTGCTTTGCACATCCACAAACATTTCACAAGGTGCACTGTGCCTAAGGGAACGCGGTTGCACGGCACGGTGCCGGATCGAAGACCCGGCAGCACTTGCCCCACAGGAGATGCTTGCTTTGAAAGCACACGGGAGAGCAAGGGGCCTCGTGACCATGTGTCCCCAATACAGAGCCTGAAGAATGGAAATAAAGAGATATCGAATTTTCACGTGTATCTTGCGAAATCTCTGGGTCTGCTCTGCGCTCACCAAAGACCAGACTCAAAGTCAACCGAGTCTGACATTGACTCAGGTCACCTTGTGTTCAGGGGTTACATGGGATTTAAGGGCAGGCCTTGCTTTACCATCCATGAAAGTCTTCCACGACTCTTAACCATGGTCAAAGTAGAATGGTACAAAGGGCTTTTATGCTACTGCTTCTGTTCCTCTATAAATCAATCCCAGAAGCAGCGTGGGTTTAGGATCAGAGCCTATTTATGGGGGTTTTTGTGATCCCCTAGAAAAGCAAACTATCCCAAGAAGTAACAGTGACGAGAGCTAGAAACTCCTGACCACGCACATTCCAATCCCCTTAGGATTTGGCATTCAGGCAATGACAGCACCTTTCTGTGAAAGCGAGAACGATTGCACGAGCATGAACTTTGCCCAATAAGTGTTTTTTACTTAGGCTTGTGTCAACAGAAATATGTCATGAGAAATAACAGCTGGATAAATTATGCTCCAATAAAGTTAATTATTATTCTCATGTCACAGTTCGTACCAAGGGATCCGCAGGAGATACATGGCCCTTTCAAATGATGAACGTGATCTAAAACCTTCTTCCTCGTTATTGACAGCCTAGAGACAAGCAATGATGTACTTCCAGGGCAAACCCACGACCTGGATTTTATCTGCAGTGTAATAAATAAAACACTGTTGAAGTTGCTGAGCCTCCACGGAGCAGCTGACTTTGGAGGTCTCCCACTGAGACACAAATACTGAGTCCTGCAGGGACTATGTACAAGTATGGACTGAAAGAGAGGTTGGCTTGTGATTTCTTGCTGGTAAATACATGGACTACCTGAATACACGATTAGAACAGACAGGAACGAAGCCCACCAGCTCCAACTCGCACCCACAGCCACTATAGATCAGATAAGTGGTCAAGGCCCTCTGTGCCCTTTCCTAACAGCACCCAGTTCTAACTGGGCAGATGAAGAAAGAAATCCCACAACAGGCAACAGCAAAAGCACTCTTCCAGGCCAAAGGGAAACGTAGGGTCCGAGGTTGCAGCCCTTTTGCTTAGGAGGGTTCCATCTCTGGACTGGTGTCTGCCTCCAGGAGGGGTAAAACCACGAACACATGGTTTGCCTGCAATTAAAACTGCCTTCAGCTCCTACACGAGCCCGACAGCAGGGCTGGGCACAGTAATCCGAAAGCCCAGTGAGAAGTGAGCCAGCCGTGCATCCTGAATCCGACACAGCCACGGCATTTCGGTGGCCCACCTGCTCCGTTGTCATCTGCCATCCGTGAATGACTTCCAGAGCTCTCCCAGGGTCAGGGTGCCTGTTTTGTGGGTCTCAGCTGCACAGAGGTTTTAGTACACGGTTCACAAAGTCAGGAGACTCGACCCTGTTTGGCCCAGTTCCTTTTCTGTACCCTTTGAGGCCGTTACCTTTGGTGATGTCTCACGCCATAAACACAGAAAAGGCCAAAACCACAGTTCAGGCTCATTTTCCAGATGATCAGATTTCCATGTAATCTTCACTTCTGATAACGAAAAAAAAAATAAAAAAACAACCCACACACTACCAAGGAAGCCAGCACATGGTCTCCTAGTAGCACAAATCACCCCAGCATAACACAAACAAAATTAGAAACCTCTCTCTGGGAAAAAAATAAGCAACCAACTGCATGTTTCAGATAATCTTTATCTTTCTCTGTAAGTAAGCAAATAGTTTACAGTGCAAGTTGATTTCCACAGAACAAGGATCAGACTCCAAACACCAAGAAACAAACAAAAAGGATTTCAGAGAAACTCACAAAGAAACAAAGCAGAAAAGAGAGGACGGAAGAGATCATGAGAACCAGCAGATCCATGGGAGGGAAGAGGCAAGCACGTGGGACACAGGATGCCCCATTCCAGCTGTGAGGTGCAAGTGCCATACAATCAGAGGCTGGCCCCACCAAATCACATTCTTATATATGAGAGAGATTGCAAGTAAAACAAAGACCTCACCCTGTTTACATCTGAACAGAAATGAGGTCAGGATGGGAGTAGTGCTAGATGGCAAAGTGGGTTGGAGATGGGAGGCGGATGGGGGAATAACTTCTCTCTATTTCACATATTTCTTATCCTTCAGAAAACCACTATTTCAGCTTTCTGCTGGCCTGGGACTCCAGTCCACTTCCAGTGCCCAAAGGAGGAAACCACCTGCCACAAGCCAGCAGGAGCCAGCAGCACACTAGAGCAGCACTCTCTCCAGGAGAGGATGACCATGTTGCTATCACTCTAGCTTCAAAACTCCAGCAAGGGTTACGAGACACAGAAGTGCGTGCCGTACCTGTCCCCTTGCTTTAACGCGTGAGGGCAGTTTCCATGGAGTGATCGCACTGGTTCTAAGCTGCGGCAAACAGCTCCCAGCCAGTGACCCTCCCAAGAGCCTGAATACCAGAGCACCAAGGACTAAGCTTTGGTGGAGAGGGAAAGGTAGGTCTCATCAGTTCATGACAGGATCCCTGTCTAAAGATTGCATTGTCGAAAGACCACCAGGTCTAAGACAGCAACCCCTCCCAGCAGAACACAAAATTTGACTCAAACCCCAGGACGTCTCCACCTACCAATGTGCAACTCCATGCTGCTGAACCAAGCCAGCAACAGTGGGTTTCCCACCAATTCTAATGCTGGTTTCCCAGACTTCACATGCTTGGGACCCAATACATTCAAGATCTGATAACTTGGTCACTAGCAAAATGCCCTGAAGAACTGAACTTTGCCTCAGCACTCTCCACTCCCTACTGACATGGAGATGCTTTTCCTCCTACAACTTCCAAATTCCTCGTACAACTTCCCTGAGTGTCTCCCTCAATCCCCTGCCTTAGGTAGTAGTGTGCAAAAGACTCTTCCACTCCCTGCATTGCATCAGCCTGCCAGGCAAAGAAGGAAGGATATGGTTCCTTTCAAACGCAGGTGACACTGTCCTTTCAGTCAACGGGAGAAGACTAGAAGAGTTGAACAGTCACGTCTCTCCTCCTTGCTCTCACGGAGCCAGTCCCTTCCTCCTTGTGTGCTCACACGGATTAAGCAGGGCTTTCCAAAGTGACACGCACTCCATTGCAACAGCCCACCAAGAAGGACAGGCTGCTGGGCCTGAAACCCAAGGAAAACCTTCTCACGCCACGCCAAAGCACCAGCTACTACAGAACTTCTTAAGTAGCTTTCCAGTAAAGGAGCAGAGAGATTCACAACTGAGATACAAAGTCTTCCTTCAGCAACTTCTCCTTTCATTTGGATGGGAAAGACTTCCCTACCAGTATGCAACTGAGACACCAGGGAGACACCTGCAGCCAGAAGGGATGCCCCGGAAACTGTGGAGCCACATGAAAGTAACTGCCGTTTCCAAACCCCCTCTCCTGCAGGAATAGCAGCTTCTCCCTTGCACCCAATTTACAGCTAGTTTTTTTTTTCAATTAAATGCTCACTCTGACCAGGGCAAGGACAGGGTCAGACTGGTTTCCAAACCACATCTGGGAGCAAAAGAGTAACAGAAGAGCTAAGAACAGTCTGATTTCTAGTGCAAGCACAACAATGGACAATCCCTTAGACGTCTTTCACTCAAGGTTCACGGTGAAGGGTGAGGGAAGAGCAGTGAGCTGGGGGGAGGGATGTCCAAGCAGGTCCCAATTAAAGCTTTAAATGACAGGGAGGTAAAATGAAGTGATTGTCCTTTTGGTCTCTCAGCTGGATGTGAAATGCAGGAATAGCTGTGATGAAGCAGCTCACAGCAGTCCTTAGATCCAGTGTGTTTCTCTTAGTAGAGGTAAGTGCTCTCTTAGACCCGTTGAATTTCAAACAGCTTCACATCCGTGTCATACCAGATAGGGGGATCCACATTCCTGAGGGAGAAAGACAAGAGCCACTTTACTCCCTGTGGCCAGGCACATGGAATTCAAATCACAGCCAGGACTAGAGAAGCTGGCTACACAGAACGCCTTCAACTTTGTGAAAGAGGAATTCACTGGTTGAGAGACAATGCACCTTAAAGGGATGACCCTATCAACAACACCCCACAAAGCCAGAGCTTTGCATGAAATCTCTGCACCACCCCCTCTAGGCAGCCTTTCTATTCCCTGCTGCTGCCAGCTCCCAAACAAGCAGCACTCCCAGAACAACTCCCTTCACATCACCCACTCAAACAACGTTTTGGAGCAGCTGGTTCACCCTAGTCTCTTCCAGGGGAAAAACATCTTCCTGTCCTGTAAATATGAGACAATCCAGAGCTGGCCAAGTGCATGCAATTCTCTCTATAGGCCCCCCAAAAGTTTGGAAAAGACCAAGTTAGACTGCACCCAGCTGGTTTACCTCAAATAAATAACTCCCCACATGTAGGTCCGGAACCACATGGCAGTGCCCGAGTTAGCCTGGTACTTGCGAATGAGGATGGGGTGAGGTACAGGTAGCAGCCCCACCAGTGTGCCATGCTGCAAGAACTTGAGGATCTCCGACTCATCAGTCAGACCCCTGCAAAGAGACAGATCAGGAACACCCTTAGCGTGTCCCACAGGCACCCCCAAAACTTCTGCAGCACAATGTACCAGTCTAAGCAAACAGACGTGGCAACCACGGCCACAAGAACACACACTCTCTGCACTGTAAAAGAGAGTTGAGAAGGGATTGGACAAACGAGAAGCTTGGCAAGCAAAATAATATCTCTGCTGAGGCCGTGATGCTTTCAATTATACTTTACAAGGTTTCCCCTAGAGGCCTTCCAAGTTCATCAAACTCTGCCAACCTCACAGAGCTCTTCACACACTGCACAGTCCTTTCTCTCCAAAAATGTACTTACTTGTCGATGCAGATCTTCTCCACCTGAGGGACCAGCACCTGTAGGAGCCGCATGATTGTCTGCAAGGGAAGCTTCGACTTCCAAGACATCACCTGTAAGCAGGAAAGCCCGCAGGGAAATCAGTGCACACAGCATTAGTAGTTTTTCTACAGTTATCTCCACTATCTCTACAACAAATGAGGTTTACAAAAATCACAAAGGTGGTGGATGAATTGAGTGCACAACAGCAATACAAAAAAATCCTGAAGCACTAGAATTATGAGCCACTCAATGAAACTAGCAGGGCATCGGTTTAAAACAAGTGAAACAAAATGCTTCTTTGCAGACAGTAGGAAACTTCTGGAGTTTCCACAAGTCAAAGACATTCCCTGTGAGGAAACGCTCCTCTGGGGGAGTCTCTGCTGGAAGGAGAAGGGGGGGTGGTGTGGCATTTCTGCCATAGCTCTTTTCCTCATTGTTTATTTCTTCTGTCCAGATTCCCTTACCCAGTCAGGAGTTGGGGTCCACTGTCCACTGGAGGATGCACTAGAGAGACGCCTTCGATCCCGTCGGGGATGTGATGCCTCCTATCAATAAATATTTCTTTTTAAAAAACAAAAACCAACCAAACAAAAGCAAATGACACTTAAGAGCAAGAAATACAACCCATTTTCTGCTGACTTTCCCCCCAGCTTTTCCAGAGCACTCCTAGGAAAGACAGCTCAGCCTGTGCCTAGAAGATCAAACCCACTAGACCTTAATTCACCAAAACCATATGCTTCAACCCAATGAGTGGCAATATTTGATGGGGTTAAGTGGTAGGACCCTGTGGCAAGGTCACAACTTCAGTCATCACTGCTGACACTCTGTTGTAACAATCCACGGTGGGAGAGTTAAAACAGGACTGACAAAGAACTGTTCAGGGATGCTTCTTTCTTTTAGCGAAGAAATTTAAACAGCTAAAGGCCACAGCTTTTCAGACCTCTGTCTACTGAGGTAGAGTATCTCCGGGACTTTTGGTGCCCATCCTAGAGTATCTTTAAAAGCATTTTTCCAAGGGTGGGCTCTCAGCAACTCCTACCTAACAACCGCTGCCCCTTAAGGAACAACACACTCATACCCTCAAACACAAACACCACCACTAGTCACTTTTTGGAAAGCTCTGCTCAAAAGCCCAAGACCAAATTCTCTCCTATTATTCTTCTAACCATCACTCTGTTTTAATTTCTCTTATAGAAAAAAACATTACTAGCATCCTGGCTTTCCACATTCATGGTGGGAAGGAAGCACAAGGCCAAGTGCAAGGCCTGCACCTAGGCCAGGGCAATCCCAAACACAGACACAGGCTGGGTGATGAGTGGAGCGAGAGCAGCCCTGCGGAGGGGGACTTGGCAGTTCTGGGGGATGAAAGGCTGA